GGATGCGAGCGGGTCCTGGAGCTGGATGTGAAGCTGGGGCAGGTGAGCATCCGTAACCCCCGCGCCCCCCCGGGGGAGCTCCCCAAAACCTTCACCTTCGACGCGGTGTACGACGCCAGCTCCAAGCAGGCGGATCTGTACGACGAGACGGTGCGGCCGCTCATCGAGGCCGTGCTGCAGGGCTTCCACGGAACCGTCTTCGCCTAAAAAGGGAAGACCTACACCATGCAGGGGGCTTGGGCGGAGCCGGAGAAGAGGGGCGTCATCCCCATGGCCTTCGAGCACATCTTCACCCACATCTCGCGCTCGCAGAACCAGCAGTACCTGGTGAGGGCTTCCTACCTGGAGATCTACCAGGAGGAGATCCGGGACCTCCTTGGCAAGGACCAGAGCAAGAAGCTGGAGCTGAAGGAGAACCCCGAGACGGGGGTGTACATCAAGGACCTCTCCTCCTTCGTGACCAAGAACGTCAAGGAGATCGAGCACGTGATGAACCTGGGGAACCAGGCGCGCTCCGTGGGCAGCACCAACATGAACGAGCACAGCTCCCGCTCCCACGCCATCTTCCTCATCACCATCGAGTGCAGCGAGCCCGGGCCCGACGGCCAGGAGCACATCCGCGTGGGCAAGCTCAACCTGGTGGACCTGGCCGGCAGCGAGCGCCAGAGCAAAATGGGGGCCCAGGGAGAGCGCCCCAAGGAAGCGTCCAAGATCAACCTCTCGCTCTCCGCCTTGGGCAACGTCATCTCCGCGCTGGTGGACGGCAAGAGCACACACATCCCCTACCGGGACTCCAAGCTCACCCGGCTGCTGCAGGACTCCCTCGGGGGCAACGCCAAGACAATCATGGTGGCCACCTTGGGCCCGGCCTCTCACAGCTATGACGAGAGTCTCTCCACCCTAAGGTTCGCCAACAGGGCCAAGAACATCAAGAACAAGCCGCGGGTGAACGAGGACCCCAAGGACACCTTGCTGCGGGAGTTCCAGGAGGAGATCGTCCGGCTGAAAGCCCAGCTGGAGAGACGCGGCATGCTGGGGAAGAAGAGGAGAAGGAGCAGCCAGAGGAAGAAAGCCATGGATGGGGAAAGCGCCACGGAGAACGAAGGGGAGGACGACAACGAGGACGGGCTGGAGAAGACCATGGAGAATTACCTGAAGGAGCAGAAGGAGAGGCTGGAAGAGGAGAAAGCCGCCATCCAGGATGACCACAGCCTGGTCAGCGAGGAGAAGCAGAAGCTGCTGCGGGAGAAGGAGAAGATGATCGAGGACCTGCGGAAGGAGCAGGAGGCCACGGAGCTGCTGGCCACCAAGTACAAGGTACGTGCGTGCCCCGCGCCGGTGGGATGCCCCGTGGGGTGCGTGAAAGGGTCCCCAGCTGGACCCCA